ATTGCACTTAGTCTATCGAGTCCTAAGCCTCCAGGAATCTAATGTCTTGGATGGGATGTAGCAGGTGCTCTCCTTTAGTCCTGAAGGAACATTTGCTGTGTCCATTTCCATGGAAAAAAAAATATGATAATTCACATTTCTTCCTTTAAAAGTAAAAAAATAAGTAGTGTTATATTTCTTCTCTTAAGGAAACTCATGGACCTCTGATGTGTCCTTTAAAGATATATCAAGCAGTGTCTGTGGTGGTGTTTTTTTCTCCCCCAGGTGTTTCTGTGAATAATCTTACAATGAAGCTGGTAAAAGTCACTGTGGATGTCTCTGTCTCTAGAAAATCTTGTCCCTTGTAAGTCCCAGAAGCATGGGGGGGGGGGGAGCATCCTACTAATGTCTGTGTGGGCTTTAAATGGTGATTGGCCTCTTATAAAAGGGACGCCAAACTGCCCCAGTCGCTCATATCTGCTGGCAAAGAGACATCGTTGAGTTCAAACAACTGCTCCACGTTGACGGAATCGGAGAGGTAATCATTTGTCCCTTCGTCCCAGGCATCCTGCAGGAAAGAAGTGGCCATGAAGGTTTCATCAAAGTCCAGGTTGTTCTGATTGGATTCAGTGAGGACCTGCTCCTGCTCCTGTTCCTGGGGACAGTCGATGTGGTGGCCGTGTACTGTCAAGTCCAGGTCACGTGTTATGGGGCTGATTGGAGGCGTGAGCTCCAGATCCCCAAAAGTGGAGAAGTCTCCGTTCAGGTTGGTGTTGAAGATTGCTTCCCAGTCAAAGTCACCTTTCAGTGATCCCAGCTCGGTCTGCTCTTCCTGGGTCAGCAAGGCAGAGTTGGAAAGCCGAGACACCTTGGCTGTTCGGTTGGGTGAGGGCTGCTTGCGCTTCTGCCCAGCTTTGCCATCTGCTGGATTCCAGTTCTGGTCACTGGTGACTTCTTCAAACTCTTTCAGCAGCTGCTGGGACTCCGTGTTGACATTGAGGATGTTATTGGAGGTACAAGCCAAAGGGGCTGGGCTGGTGACACACCGTGTTTCTTGCTGGGCTGTTTTGGTGAAGGCTGGGTGGATCTGCACTGGGGGCATCTTCCGCTTTTTGAAGGCACCGTTCTTGAGCCGGTCAGCATATTGGGGGTCAAGCTTCCAAAACCCACCTTTGCCTGGCTCACCCTTCTCCCGGGGCACCTTGATGAAACACTTGTTCAAGGATAGGTTGTGCCGGATGGAGTTCTAGACCCAAAAGAGAAAAAAAACTAGGCTGAAGGCTTGTCTGCTGCCACGGCACCTACCTGTGTGGGGACGCCAGTGGAAAAGCACGTTTTCAGCAAGGACCTTTGGGAAAAAGAAAGCAGAAACAGCAATGTCAAGACATCCTGGGCTACATGCCCAGCAGAAACTCCCCTGCCCTGAGTCCCCAGCAGAGTTTTCTTGCTTCCTGTCTAACTCAGCCAGAGATGACAGGAGCTAAGGGGTTCAAGCTAGGACTTGCCAACCGACGGGAAGATTTTGGGCAACTCTCCTTGGCTGTAAACTGGGGCCATTGGATCTTGGATCATGCAAAGCACTGGGAGAAACTGGCCAGACTTGCTCTAGACATGGAGCTAAGCTGGAGGAAGTCAGGTCCTCATTCTTGGCTAAGGAGGAATAGAAGGTTCTTTACACCAATGTGACCACGGCCCCATTGAAAGTGGCAACAGATGACGGCACCATGGGGGATGGCATCATCAGGGGCCTCTTTGCATCCCCCAGTTCGTCTGTGCCTATTGCTAGTGGTGAGGGGAAAATATTTGGCCAAAAAATAGGCACCATGGCTTCCTGTGGCCAGGCTGACACAAACCAGGCGGGCAAAACCAGAGAGACACGTGGGCTGTCCCATCACAGCCCCGCGTGTCCTCAGAGGTGCCTCCTGGCCCAGGGAAGCTTGGTGTGAAATCACTGCATCTTCATCAGCCACCACTCAAATGAGCTGAGGGGGAAACAAAAAAAAAAAGGAAAAAAAAAGAAAAAGAGGAGTTTCTGCTCCCGTCGAGCTGTTCTGAGTCCCTGAATGTGCCTGGAGTGATGTGAATAATCAGAAAGGAAACTCAGTTATTGGGTAAATAACCCGGCATTGGACTCCACAAAGCCAAGACTGTATTAAGAGATTGGATATGGTAGAGGTTTTTTTTTTTTTAATGTTGCCTGGATATCTTTATGCTTATTCATCCATAATCCGTAGTGCCGAATAGGAAAAACAAGGCTTGAATGCTTAGAGCTGTTGAAAAACACGCACACACACACACACACACAACAAAACCCTCCTCTGGGCTGAAGCTCCTTGGGTGTGTTGGCTCCTCTCCAAAGCACTCAGCTCCCACAGGAATATATCCATCTCCCCCCGGAGTATGGGTGGCATGACCTTTCCAGGCTGTCTTCACATACGGGAATCGGGATAGGGGATGAGAACACAACCTCAAAAAGAAAGGAAGGAAGAAAAAAAAAGAAAAAGAAAGAAAAAAAGAAAAAGAAAGAAAAAAAGAAAAAGAAAGAAAAAAAGAAAAGGAAAGAAAAAAAGAAAAGGAAAGAAAAAAAGAAAAGGAAAGAAAAAAAGAAAAGGAAAGAAAAAAAGAAAAAGAAAGAAAAAAAGAAAAGGAAAGAAAAAAAGAAAAGGAAAGAAAAAAAGAAAAGGAAAGAAAAAAAGAAAAAGAAAGAAAAAAAGAAAAAAGAAACAAGCAGCAGGAACACAGATATCCCTGCAAACAATCCAGGCTGTGGTAACTCCAAATTTACAGTTTTACGAAATTTTACAAGGGTCAGAGACTTGCAAGCCAAATTCTCTGCTCCCCGTCTCCCCTCCCCATCCCAAACTTCATTCAGCCTGGGCTGCCCTCCGTTATTACCCGGCCGGTTAACATATTTATCATTCCTGCCTCCAACAATCCCGTGAACCCCCTGCATCTCTGCGGAGAGGGATTGAAAACCTTCTTTCTTTTTTTTTTTTTTAATAAACACATTTAATTAAAAATGTGGTGATTATCCAGCCATGAGTTTGCAGGAGAAAGTCAACCCGCTGGCACACACCTCCTCCTCCTGAATCGCTCCTGTAGGTCCCCCCAGCACGGGGGAGGCTGGGTGACCCAGGTAGCCCTGGAGGAGGACCGGGAGGTTCCCTTCCCCGTGATGGTCTTCAAGACTCACCTGCTGGAGACCCACCTGCCTGGGGAGAAGGTAGGCAATGCCTGGGCAGGGGGGTTGCAGCAGTTTTGCCCAGCCCTGCCTGGGTGAACGCTGCCGCCGGGATCGCTGGCACGGTACGGATTTGGGCTGGGAATAACCCGAGCCACCCAATAACCTCCTGCCTTGCCACATCCTAGAAAGCCTCACGTGCTGGAGGTCCCCTTGCATGACGGAGGAGGGCAGTAAGCCAAGGTGGCTGGGAAAAGCCCCTGTGCTTCAGGCTGTCCCCAGAGCTGGTGAGCCTGAGAGCTGTCCCTTACCCCCCCGGGAGACACTCATGCTAGCTGGGGACACCAGCCCTAATTGACCTCTCTTGGGCTTCCCTCTGAGGCCTCACCAGCTCGTCACAGCAATGGAGCCTCCTTCACCTGTCCAAGGGGACAGGAGACCTGCCCTCTGCCCTGTTTGGAAAGCAGCAGCCTTTCTGTTCTGAACCTTCCCAAGGAGGGGCATTTGTCCAACAAGTCACGTCTCCCTGCAGGTCCTCTCCATCCCTCTCCTACGCCTGGTCCTCAGCACCCAGAGATACTCAACCTGGCTGTTTCACGTGTGCTCAGCCCCAAGGGACTCAGGACTCCACAAGAGCTCCAGAAAGGTGGAGCTAGGGACAGAGACGCCTTCGTCCTGGAGCCAAGAGGAGCCGCAGGGGCCCAGCAGCCCAACAGGTACCTTCCTGCTCCCAAAACGGTCCTGGGGTCTCCCCCATAACGGCTCCTTCCCTCTGCTGCCCTCAAGGCCGTGGCATTTCTGCACAGGCAAGCTCTTTTCCGTTACAGCCCTTCCCCAGCAGCTGCCGGTGCCGCTGTCCTCCCAGTAGGATCCAGCATCCCTGTGGGACTTTGCCTTGCAAGGTGGAGGTTGTGGAAAGCCCTTCCCAGCCCTGTGGGGAGACAGGACAAGGCCAGAGGTCTCCAAATCTCCTACCTGCCAGGTGGGATCAGCGTGTCGGAAGTAGCAGAAGTTGTCAGTAATCCACTTGTAGATGGCGGCGAGGGTGATTTTGGGCTTCTTGCTGGCTTCCATCGCCATGCAGATGAGGGTGGCATAGGAGTAGGGTGGCTTGACGTGCGGGTTGGTCTTGTAGTCAATGTCCTCCGCGAGCTGAGGGTGCACGGTCACGGTGTGGTGCGCCGTCCTCGAGGTGGAAGAGGAGATGGGCTTGCAGGGAGTGTGGGGCATGCCCATGCACGCCGGGTCGGCGGCCAGTGGTGAGCACGGGGCGGCAAAACTGGGAATCCTGTGACAGTCGTGGGGGTCCGGGCCACTGGTGCAGTAAGAGGACTTGCCCATGCTGGTGTTGAGGATTGAGAAGTCCTGCAGCCACATGAGGCTGGTCAGGCTGTCATCCAGTTCCGTGTACCTCATGCTGCCCTCCTGCCTTCTGTCCTTTGCTGCCTGCAGGCAGCTCGGCCACCCCTCAGCCATGCCTCAGCGCAGTGGCAGCTCTTGCGGGGCGAACGTCAAGGGGAAGGAGGGGACGGGGCAGATCCTGCAATAACAACAGGGAGAGGGGTTGAGGCTCCTGGAGATGCAGCCACTCTCCCGCACCCGAGCAGGGCTGGGCCTGGGTGATCCCGGTGCCGCTGGGTGAGACCCATCCCCGGGGTGCTGCGCACTGAAGCCGCAACGCCTTCCCCGGGGTGCTTTAGCCGCCCTGAACCTCCGGAAAATACCCTCAAAGCCCTGCGCCCTGATGTCACCCAAACCCCAAAGAACCAGTGCTGCCCAGCAAGCCTTTGGCTGAAGAAAGAATTAAAAAAATACAATAAAAAAAACACCCAAAATTCAGCCCTGCCATCCCACAAAGCCAGGATGTTTCTCCCACCTGCCGCTAGCAGGACAAAAATCTCAGGATCCAACACCTCGAAAAAATATCTTAAAGTTCCCCCCCCCGCCCCCCGCTACTAATGTCCCTGGGTTTCATTCTCTTTCTGCTCCTCCCTA